CATCTCTGCAGAAACAATAAAAGCCCCAAAAAGATGCTATGGTAGCGTTTCATTTAAAAAGGGGGAACTATAACAACTTGAGGAAGCTTATTAAGAAGAAATGAGAAGGGCAACCAAAAGGAAACAGAGACTGCTGAAAACAAAAATCAGTCATATTCTGAAACATGGAGATTCTCTAATTATCTAGTATTTTATTAGTGAAGGTTAATTTGAGTCTGCTGTTCAGCAAAGTAGTGGTAGTTGGTGTTGGGAAAGAGAAAGCTGGGCCCATGGCTCTTGGATTCTGATTCTCATTCTGCTGCAAATCATTTGATTATTTGAGTTTTCAATCAAATTTTTAAAAACATCCATTCTGATGTCAACGTGTTATCCATGTCAGCAGCATGATGCTGTGTAGTCATACTTAAGTGAGCTGTCTGGGGTACCAGAGGTAGGAGTGCTAATCTACCTGTCTTTTAGCTCTAATTTTAATAGCCTTACTCATTCTAAAAATAGAGTCGCAGACACAGTTCTGTGGGATAAATACAAATAGGAAGTTTCATAACAACTCTGTTGGACTAGACAAATATAAAGTTCTGTGTCTGTCTGTAGGTCAAATAAAGGGCATTTCATTCTATCAGAAGGACCAAAAAAGGGGAAAAAGATGAAGTTGTTATTGAAATCATAATGGGGCTTTGGGACATGATCAAGTTTTAAGTTTTAAAAATGGCGATTTACTTTGGTAATCTCCTGATTTGAAGCTAATTATTGGACTTTCATTATTAATGGCTCACTGAGGCAGAAAATTGTAACAGCTCCAGAGTTTACATCAACACAACATGTGAGGGAAGTTCTGTGATTAAAAAAAAGTGCATGAAAGTGGAATTCACTTTAACATTGGACTTTATTTTGTTATTCTATTGCAATACCTTTGACTCTGCAAGTAGCTGAACTGAAAAATGGGCTTGGATTTTTGCAGAGTATAGGGCTAGGATAGATGGATAACATTTGGCATCTGATCTTTAGAAAGGATTAAGTCAAATCCATCATTTTTCTCTTTCCTAATAATTTGTTAAAAAAAAGTTATGTAGGTCTTTTTGATGCTATTATGTTGACCCATGCTGAGCAGTAGTAAGCCTTGTAGGCTGTTTTGCAATAGTGCAGAACATTGGTATATCATAACTGTAATTTTATTTACATTTGTATGAAATATTGGCATATATATGTCATTCTTTTAAGTTACTTTTGCATATAAAGAAATCTAATATATGTGTAATAGCTCTTCAAAGACCAAATGTTTGCCTGCATACTAGGAAGAAAAGAAATGGAAAGATGTGAATAGGATCAGCAACTATTCACTGTCACTGTTAGAATATCTTGTTTAATTCCAGAGCAGTTGCTTTTACAAAGAGTTAAACTTGTTGAAATGAGGAAATCATTATGGAATTGCTGAGAGAACAATGACTGAGAAATTCATACTGTAGATGTGCTAATAACAGGAAAAAATGCATAAAAATATACTAAATTCTCTACTGAAGGCAAGTTATTTTATGCTATATTGCTACATCTCCAAACTTCTACTTTAACCATCAGATAGCTGCAAAGAATTTCTAGGCCTACACACAGAACTGGTTGTATAATGAGGCAATCTTGGTACTGGAAATTAATTGCCATCTCTTTTGCATGCTAAGAAATAGTAGGAAGGGACAGTTGGTCTTCAACCAGGGCCAGATCGCTTAAATTCTGCCTAAGTTACTGTCTTTAATATGTCCAAGAACTGTATCACAGCCAGTAGTCACAGATGGAGTTAAGACACAGGACCCTTTAGGATCATGCACTGGCCAGTGGCATATTGGCTCCAGAACTATCCCCTATTCAGTTTATCTTTGGCTATTTTAAAAGTTTATCCCCATAAGGTGGCTAAAGGAACTGTTGGACTGGAAGCAATGTAACGGTGGTACTGTGCATCACAAGCTACCGAAGAACAACTGAATGTATGCCTATGAAGCAGTACAGTGTAAAATCTGTGCTGCTTCTGATGCTTGAGCTGGCTTGGTTAAAGCTACCTGTGGCATCTCTGCAGTAGACTGCAAACAACCTGTTGGAAAAGCAGCATAAGACAGGGGAAAAAGACCACCAGGAAGGGGTGGTCAGAAGTGTGAATAAACCTGCATAAATCTGAGTCTATGTTCAATGACCAGGTGGTCATGCAGCAGTCTTTGATACTTTCATCCTCAGCTCCAGATCCTGCAGTGGAGTGTGCTGTAACTGCCTACTCCACAGAAGTCTGTGTCAGTCCAGTAATTTCACAGTGAACACAACTTAGACAACATGGCCTACAGAATCAGATGTGAAAGGAAACATGTACTACCCATGACCTCTGCTCAATGATATCTAGAATCATTCATACTCCGTGAACATTTGGATGTTCTAAAATGATCAATGGAGGCATACCATGACATACTTTTTAGTGAGCTGCAACCTGTAACCTCTCAGTATTTTGGGATGTTAACAATTTCTACTGGAAAACCGTCTGATACAATCCCATCATTTCAGTTCCTTCAGTAGCTTTATCCTAATTTCTAGCTTTTTTTAAAAAAATATTAAATGAACATGAATGTGTAAGGATGAGTTTACTGGGTCAAAACTAAAGCAGAGTGTACTGTCTGAAGCACTGGCTGAATTTTTAGAGAAGGCAAATGGGAACCAAAGTTTTAAAAAATGTCCACCCAGCAGATCTGTGCCCTGGAACAGGGCAGTCTGTGTATCCAAGGACATTCCTTGGGAATCACTTTGACCCTCAGTTTTCCACTTGACTCTGCAGAATTGTTCTGCAGAGGTAGCTAGGAAATGGTTAAAGGTACTGAACGCAACAGGTGTGATTTGGTATAAAAGGAAAAGGAATAGCAGTGTGAATAGGGAAGGAGGGATAGACTGCTCTTCTGCTTGTTTTACATGATGCTCCTTGGTACTACAGAGAGCTCACCTAAACATAGCTGTGGCATTGTTCACTGTGCTCCCCTCAAGGGAAGATTTTGATTTGTCTTTGAGAGCAGGTAAACTTGGAAGATGTGGTGGGGTGGAAATTGTGATTTCTTCAGGGGATTTTCAGGCAAGAAATAGATCAGAGTGAATAACAGTAGTAATTGACTCGCTTCTGAGCACCAGTGTCTCACATTGCTAAACCAAGGAAAATGTTTCCAATATATTTGTATCTGACCATTGCACTTCAGTCAGTGTGGAGCAGAGCTATTCTTTACTCACTCCAGAAATGCACCCTTTGGATTCCCAATGAACTGTATTCACCTTCGTTTCCAGTTTCCTAGCATAAATTTAGGAACTTTCAAGGTAGTAAGTACTACATCTCTGTGGATGTTTTTGTCAGAAAAATGAAAAAAACCTTACTTGGAGCATCCTAGTAACTGCTCCACTAATGACATGATCAGCTGCAGCAATAACAGTTAAATCCTCAGCATCAACTAAAAACCTTTTATCTTTCTCAAAATCTCAAGCTAGACAAGAATCTTAAGCTAAACAAAAATTGACAATGGAAGAAATTTTTGCCTGGTTAAAGATAGTATCACCATCTTAACACTACTTCCTCCATTATTAATGGAAAGTAACAGTTGGGAACAAGATACATCACTGGCAGGAGGAAAGTGTACTCATTTTCTCCTGTCTTCACCCATCCCTGGTGCAGAGAGGTAGAAAAGTTGCTGAGAATCTCATCTTCTCTTTCATTTTTAGCTTTACGGAACAGAAATGCATCTGGTTGAGAATGCTACCTAAAATTTGCAATTAGTAGGGCCAACAGAAAAGTATTATTATGAATGTCCACAGCACAGACAAAAGGTACCACAACATGTTTCCCAGTCTTTGCACCTGGAAATGAGAAATAACATTTCAGAAGATGGATTGAACTTTATAAAATCTTAACTGTCACCACTGGAAAGTGCTGCAGTTCTGCCAAGTCAATTCAGGCAAGATGCATAACGTTATTTGAATATGTAGAAAGGAGTTCTGTGAGTAACTTTGGTGCATTGCTGAAAGGAATAATAGACCAGAAGTACAAAGCGATCTCTTTTTTCTGAATGAAAATTCAGGAATTTATTGGATTTCTAAAGCATGGGGTAAGTTATCTCTCCAGTACAGCAAATGTGAAATGATCGTAAAGAAAGCACATTTCCTAGGGGAGACTCACAGCACCTTCTGAGAAAGATGGTCCATCAGAGCATCTCTGTTGGAAACAACTGCATCTCCCCTTTAGTCTATGGAGACTACAGCTCTCCTATTCCATTATTGTCAAGAGCACAAAGGTAAAGTTTTTCCCTGTCCTGTTTTACTTCACAGTCACAAAGGCTTGTTTTGCTGCAAGTAATCAGGAAAAAATTCAAGCACTTTGAAACCATGTTCTTACCAGACCTCTGGATATGCACAGATGGCAATGTAAATAGTCTCATTAGTTAAAATCAGGAGGAACCAAGCAGCTCAGGGCTGTCTGTGAGAAGAGCTATTAAAAACAGAGTCTGAAGTGATTTCTGAGGAGGAGGCAAATGCCTCTGCCAGCTGCAGAAATACAAAGAGGAGGGAAATTTGAAATCCTCTCCCTTCACACACAATATCTACAACTCCTTATCAGTATGAATTAGATGACATTGACTGAAGGACTGATACTGTTTTCACAGGTGGGGAAGCAAAACCCTGAGCAATGGCTGCTGTTACAGAATTAGTATTAAAAGATGGAGCACAGAGAGCAGCTGAAGTCAAACAGGGAGAGGAAGTGTTTGTTGTAAAAGAAAGCAAGAGAGTAAAACTAATGAAAGGCTGAAGGAGAAAGACCAAAGACAGGGAGAAAAACAGTGTGTTAGGGAGAGATCTGAGAGAGGTACAGAGGAGCACAATCGATGAACTATTGAAGGCTCTGCCTCTTATCACTTAATGATTGTTATCACTGTATTTTTATTTCAGCAGAGAATCTGATCTCAACCTCTCACCCCTAAACTTTTCCTCTCTTTTCTCACCTGTCCACAGCTATCGCTGTCATGGAGTAGATGCTGGCGAAGACAGCTGTAATTGGGAAGAAGTTGTGGAAGCGGCAGTAAGCCTCTCCAAAGTACCACTCACTGTGCAGCGCATAGATGAAGTTGATGAGAGTATTGAAAGCAGCCATGGAGGCATCGGAGAAGGCCAGGTTCACCAGGAAGTAATTGGTCACCGTCCTCATGCGCTTGTGAGCCAGGATAATCCAGATGACAATGAGATTTCCAAAAACAGCCACTGCCACCACACCACCATAAGCCAGAGACCACAGGGCAATACGCCAAGAGGGTTGCACAAACTGGTTGGAGAAGTTGGCTGCTGAGGATGCTACAGGGGGAGAAGTGTTTCCAGCTGGCACTTCCAGTGCCTGTCCCCAGGGATCGCCTGCTGCAGCAAGGCTCATGTTCCACCTGCTGCTCGTGCTCACGTTCCAGATGGCTGTGGGGACAGAAGTCATCTTGGATGCTCCTCTCCTCTCTTCCAGGAATGTTGTGCCTCTCCCACCTCCCTCTCCCAACCCTCCAAAATCCCCACTAACAGATAAGAAGAGGAAAGAAAGAAAAAAGGAAGGCAGCACAGCAGGTACTGGGAAGGAGAGATCTGTCAGAAAAAGCTTTAGCTACGGTGTTCAAACAGTTAGAAATGCTGTACCAGCTGAGTCAGGAGAGCTACCTCTGGGTAGAACAGCATCCCATCCCTCCTCTGTATGGCCATCTCTTGCTTTTGGTTTTGCTGAAGGAGAAGTGGACTGGGAGCCAAGGCACATTTTATAGGCTTCTGAGTTCCCAGCGTCATGAAGGGAGTGGAGCGATAAGCTCCGTTGGCTGGTAAGATAACACCTCTTTCTCTCTATTCTCCCCCCTCCCCTTTTACTTCATTCATTGCCAGCAGCAGGCACTTTCAGGAGCTGTGGAGAGTGCCACGGGGAAAATGAATTCTTGTCTCGTTTTTGTTGAGAGATTTGTTTTATATTGCCTTTCCTTGAGTTTCATTATTGCGCTTCCTTTTTAAATAGTCTTTTTGCCCTGTCTTTGCAGGGCTAATTAGCTGGCTTAGTGGAACATCCCAGGACTGAGACTGTGTTTTATTAAAGCTGTTTCCAGATGAATTATGAATTTATTCCAGATTAATTCAGATCTGCTTTTTTTGTTGCTGTCTTTTCATTTAGTCCACGCTTTCCTTTTAACCATTCTGTTAACTACAGATTTGGAACAGTGACCTCTTTCAGATAAAGGAATAAATCCTGCTGCGCCCTAATTTCACTTTTCAATCAGTAATATGTAATAGACATCAAGAAACATTTATAAAATTAAAATGTGGCTATCTTTTTCTTACAGCACTAACTTTGGTGCCTGTGAAGCCATTTGCATGTTCAGCAGACACTGATTTTTGTTGAAACACTATGCAGCCCTAGATATAGATGTCCCTAAATGTGGGTAAAGTGGTAGGGGTTCATTTTCTTTGTATCTTTGAAAAAAAATTTTTTTTAGTTCTTTTTCCTTATTTGCATTTATTCCACACTTAGTCCTATTATTACTCTGAGCAAACAATATTTTTATAAGCAGTCATTTCTATACTGGCAGAAAAGGGTAAATGAGGAAAGTTAACACCTGATGTTTTCACATCCAAGAAATCAGTTTTCTTGTTAATATGTTAACAACAGCTGGCATTGGGAATTCATCGTTTGTGCAAGGGTTGATTGCAAGGGACTTCAACTAACAGACCTTTGTTATTCAATAGGCTGCAGTCTTTAGGGAAAAAATGTGTTTTTAGCGCTGATCTGCTCTGTGCTTCAACAGAGCTAGTACTTGTCATCAGCAGAGATTTCAACGGTATCACAGCAGTGGGAGTTATTCAATACCCCTATCAGCAATGACACATTCTACATTTTTTTAAACAAAAGCTTCATACAAAAATCAAATATTCCTGTGTGCCACTTCCTCCCTGCTGTATTTACCCAGTGGAAGTAGTGTCTGCACTTTAATTGTCAGGTCTTCACTGCAGTTTTCATTTGAATGACTGCAATTGTAGCCATTTCTGTATGCTTCTTGGGTCTTACCAGCTGATATGATCCCAAGCAGCAGTCCACCCCAGGCTTAGAAGCTCTGCTGCAAACCACCCTTTGCTGCAGCATGTCTAGAACTTACCCATATGCTGCAGGTCCTCATCACAGGAAAACCACTGGAGTTAATCCCACGGTTCCATTTCAAGTCCTACATTTTCCATCCACATTGTCTTTCATCCTCTCCCTGGAGGTTAGTCTGAAGAAGGGAATAGTAGTTCACACACCATTTCGCCAATAGGCATTGTGCTGTGTTCTCAAGAGATCCCATAGTAAGACGCACAGAGTCAGCAGAGACTGTAGTAGTGCTGAGTGGGTTGAACCCCTCTAAGTTTGCTTAAACTACAGTGAACTGTAGGATATATTTCTCTGCCTTTTGGGCATGTATAGAAGGGACTGTGGGAAGGCAGTGAAGAATAAGCAGTTGAGTAATTCAGGTGCATTCTCCTGGTAAAATCAGTGGGGTGCTGGCCAGAGGGTTAGTAAATAGCTAGGGCTCTTCACTCTAGAAGCTTCACTCAAGATTTTCATATGGCTATGAGCCTGAAAGTGCAAACCCAGCCCTGTGCCCTATACCTTTCCACCTTTATGCCCAAACTAGGAACTCCAGACTGTATCCTTTTACTAAGCTGATGTGTTTTCCACATTCCCAGACCAGCTGCCCAAGTCCTTGTGTCCCACGTGCTCCTGTTCCCAAGTGCTCCTTTCACCCAGCTTTCCCAGCCTCAGCTCTATTACTCCTTTTCCTCAGGTTCAGAAGC